CATCATCCACAGCATCAGCAGCAAGTGCATTCTTGTTTTTTGTTAGTACAAAAAACGCTGTCGCACATTAGGACTTTTACTTACTTACTTACTCGTACTTGATACGGCTACGATAATCCCTGATCAAGTCGGTCTCAATGTGTGGTGGACGGTACCCCCTAACGCGTGATGATTAGCGGCAGCGGATCGGGAAAGCTCCACCCATTACCTGCTTCAGCGAAGGGAACCGAAAAGCAAAGGTCCAAGAACCGCTCCCCTGTCCTAATAGGCAGCAGCTGTTAGAACTGGCGACCAATTACGGGTCTGCGGAATTCAAAGGTGAAGACTCGCATGTGGGAATACATTGTGAAGAAATTGGAGAACAACATGAGCACGCCCTCCGGGCGCCACAACTACGGGCCGAATATGCAGTAGCAGGGAGGGCCAGGAAGGATGAATCCCTCTCCCAATGAAAATAAAGTTTCTTCTGATCCGGCGGGACAAAATACATGTCTAATCAACAGAGTTTCTGTCGCAGAGAAAATTAGCAATTTGATCATTTTGGACATCCTTGGTGTTTAGAAACGTAAAAGGGTGGTCCACACAGTCAGCGAAAACCTATCAACATGAGTGGTTCTGCACAGAGCAGTTCGGAATATATTTACTGAGGTTGGCATAAGCCACAATCCGAACAAATTCATCGCAATGTCTGATTATGTGCATGTTCTGGACGCTCCATTGCAATAATCACGTGATTCTTGGGGTGGAGCGGGCACTAGAGACGGAAGACACAGACCACAGTACCAGGAGATCTCTAAAATTCTACCAATAAAAGCCTTTCCCTTCATTCATAATACTCGATTAATCAGCCTAAATGAACACCCAGAAAAAGGAAAACAGAAGGGGACGCAATGCAACTTTGGTTCAGTTTCGAGGAAGTTAAACTACGACCGGGTGAAGGTATCAGGAGCACTGCTGGTTAACAGATGAGAAGATAGCAAGTAACTATTATAGAAAATCATACATAAGCGTCTGTGAATTCACTGTGAATGAGAAGAGGTCAAGAAGCTACTAGTCAAGTCTACAAACGCCTCAGTTCTGTTGAAACAATTTGGCACCAATTCAGCTTACCATAACTGTCATGACTGAAAATGAACCTGTTTCGTAAACTTCACTAAATAATTATTGTGCACCAAGACAACCATTTAAGACACTGTAAATAGAGGCCAGTAAGGGAACTCCAGGAAACAGTCCAAAAGTGGCGGATGCGATGGCTGGAACAGGACGCTTATTTGCCTGACGTTCCCAATCCTCATTCGAACCCCTTATCGACGATTTTCTCAGGTGATGGGTTGGAGTGCGAATCACAAAAATTGTTAGCCAGTAAACTTTCTGTCCCAGCGATCGTATCTTGTTCTTATGGAGGCATTGTAAAAGTGCTGGCAATAGCAAAAATGAGATCTCCACGTGGCGTTTCGAAGGTGTGTATTTTCAAGCGACACGTGAGGCCCTCTATCATCGGAGACTCATCGCGCTGTCAACTCCTAAGCAATGTGTTGCTGAATAATGCAACTCCAAAACCTTCATAGAGACAAACGGTAAAACACAGAAGGAGTGGTAGAGGCACAATTTACCGGTGGGTGAATACCCAATCTAGTACCCACGAGATCATCTCGAGTCATCTCAGCGATTTACCTAAAGTCCACAGATACCTACAGGCATAAGCTGTCAACAACTGTTGATAGTATCTGCTGTCAACAACAGCCAACGGTCAGAAAGAGCGCAGCCGGCTAACTCATATCAAATCGAACCAGCTAATTCCTTTAAGACAGACTGAAGGTCGTGGATAGACCGCATGGGCCCGACTCGATGTTCTACAGTTACGTGATGCGACCAAAAAATGTCATCAGCCATCAGGACCAGGTCCTTGTCTTCTAGCGGGCACTATCTACGTGCGGAGAATGTTAATATTACATTTGGAAAACAGACCAACAAAGTAACGGTGTAAATTGTTGTAACGGAAGCCCAGGCCGAGATATCACTGCCCAAAACGCCTTGTGTGCGTCCCAAAGGAAGAACACGACAAGAAGTGTGCAACAGCAGAAGTCTTTTAGTGTATGAGGTACAACGTATTTAGGACAATAAAAACGCGTGTAACACGATGTCTATTGAGCCAATCAGCTCCTCTCTTGACGTAGTCGCCGGTAGGATTGGCTGGTGACTCGACGGCTGGCTGCAATATGAATTTCGAATTATCGATTGATTTACTCCAGTCTGTGTTCGCCTCGTGTAGGCTAATCGATAGCCTGCCATGTATGGGCTATCGCTTGCAAGCTCCTGTTTGCTAAGGCTGTTCGTTAGGCCGTCCTAACATAAATAATGGATGATAATTCACTGGTGGATTTCGTTCCATCCTGTCCAATCAATTCTTTTATTTTGGCGCAGTAAAAATGTTAGTCGAGATGACGACAGCAGAGGAACCTGGGCCTAATAGGCCTGGTTGCCAAACGCCCACCCTAACGACCGGCGTGTGCAATTCAACCTCAGAGACACATTTTGAAGGTGGAAAATCTCAGCCGAGGACGGTACACTAGGCGCAGTCCTGGTGCGGCTGGCCCAACAGTAATCTTGGTCCGAGGCACACAGCAACAATGCCCCAGCCCGCCACCCATTCTTACCAAGCGGACTCGTTGGTCAATCAATATGAGCGTCCGCATGTCGTTCTAAATGTCAGCACCAAAACAAAATCATCTCGCGATCGCCATTTACTCCTCCGCTACCCCAAACGGGCTGAAATGGTTAGCGTTTTAAAATAAAAGGACCGAATAACCAGTCAGCTTACCTCCCACAAGATGCTGATGGGCTGATTTAAGGAAGCAGGAGACTTTTCCGATGAGAGATCGGTACCGTCTTGCGCTGAGGATGCGGAGGCAGAGGAGCCGAGAAGGGGCGTGCCATCACCCATCACCATGGCGGATTCGACTTCTGTAGGATCCGAGTGCGCGGAGGCGGTTAGAGTGCGGCAGTCTGGTAGGAGGA